GGGGGGGGGGGGGGGGCGGTGTCGGATGCGTCGGCACTGCAGGTACCGCAGGAGCAACGCCCGCTGTCGGCGGCGGCGATTAGTTTCACGGCTGGACGAGCCGTTTAACCGCCCCGCGCCCCGCGATTGGCTCGTTACTTCGCGCCCGCGCGCGTTAAGCGGCGACCCATCGCCGCGGAGGGCGGCCCTCTCGCAAGTCGCTTCAAGTGGCGTGGAACTGATCGTCGCGACGAGGGGACTTCAGAGTTTCAAACCAGGGGTGGAATTCCATTGAACCAGTTCACGAATAGAGTCATACATCGTCATCGAAATACTATGAACACAATGTTAGAAATAGCAAAAAATATTATCGGTAGGTTGTTTCATACGCTATATTGATTACTGCTTTTTCCGACACGGAAGGAATTTATTTTCTTTGAACGTTATTTGCAGTAAGACGATTATTTGATAAACTTTTGAACGTTATTTGCAGTAAGACGAAATCGAAAGCAACACGTATAAACTATTCGAATTTCGCCCGTGATTGGTTTATTCCGTCTTAAATACTATTCGCCGTATTAAAAATAGTAATAATCTAGTAATGAGTGGAAAAGTCTAACAATTAAAATTTCGATAAACGTACATCCAAGACGTTAAGTATTTAGTGCCCCATTACGTAATTTTTCGACATTATCTTCTACAAAATGAAAAAGGATCTTGATCTTTAGTTATTTATAAGGGAATTATTTACAACCTAGGAATTATTTACAGGGGTACAGTAAAATTAAATTAGGTCGCTCAATATACGCAACAGTCAAACGACATAATAAAGAAGATCAAGTTTCGTCGGAATTACTTTCCTTTTTATTTCGCGAGTGACTTGGGTCCAGGCCCTCCGCCTGCTTCGGACTTGCCTCCCCGGTCTGCTTCTGAATAGCCACAACCACGGCCTGCTGATGAGGTGCGAATGACCAAGGCGTGCGCAGCCTAAACAGAGGCGAGGGCAACTAGTTCTTGGGTCCCCTTTTCTGTCGAACATGTTTTTTATTTACAAATTACATGTTTTTAAAGTAAATGAAAAAAATCGACAATGAGAATGCAATTATAACTTGAATGACACAGTTATTAAATACAATTAATTTTATGTACAATCATTTACTCACTTGCCAGATAACTGACGAGCCTTTTCTTCAAATGTCCAAATTTCCCAAATTGTCCCGTTGAAAAATGGAAAATATGAGGGCTTGAACATATTTACCGAAATAAAATGTGTTAAAACGTCAGGCCCTTTTGAAAATTTTGAGGGGGTGGGGGACACGACCCGCTGCCCCCCCCCCCTCTGCGTACGTCTATGGCGAATGAGAATGCAAATTAACACAAGGATGCTGGGATTCGTTCCACACGAGGCTTCTTCTAAATTCCCAACCTTTCAAGCCCTGAAATATCAACGAGTTCGAGTAACACTGAGTTGGAGTGATGCTGCGTTCCACGATCTGAGCAAGCCGATCCGCTAAAATGGCTTACCGATTCATCCGGTTCATTCTTCCACGCGGAAGTAATGACGGTGTCAACACTAACCTCGCGCAGTACGTAGATATTGACGAGATTTTTAAAGACGCGTTCTTCCCCTAAAATTAGTCACAGGAGATGAACTCATAACTAGGACCAACTTGTTATACTACTGTAGTCGATGTATATTTTTGTTTCCTATATTCTTTTCATCATCGTTACTGTGAAATCGATAAGTGATATCTCAACATGAAAGCTTGAGTACGATATTAAAAAAAAGTTTACAAGCGTACAATAAAACAGAGAGTTGCAAGCACGTTAACATATCTAACGTGTTCTTCCTTCCCGTTCTCGTCCTACATAGGGTACTGTGAAGCATTGGCACAAAGGAGAAACTACACAATACGTATAATTACAATATTTAAACGAATTAAAATTTCGTGTTTTCGGAAAGTAAAAGTGATTTTTTATAATAAATATTGAATAAGGATATCTCTAAAAATACTTCAATACCTTCCAATAAAATGAAAATTATTTTCTTCTTTTAAAAATCCTGTATAGATATACACGAAAATTGAAAACGTAGATAGCGTTCGGTCATAACAACACGTCTACTTCGTTGTATAGTACCTTGCCACACGAAAGATTATTATTAATTCATATACAGTAATATCGCTACCTTAAGTGGCGACCCTTCAGCGTGCTTAAGGTAACCAGAGCTAATGCGGCTTTCGAGTATACCTCGAGACGATTATAAATCCGGCCGCGTTATCGCACTGTTCCCCAACTTGCTTAATTATGTGAATAATACAGCAGATTTACAACTGACGATAGCCAAGCCCGCTTTTGTACGGCTACTTTAGCCGCAGCCGCAGCCCTGCGCTCCGGTTGCAATGAGGATGCGTGCAGAAGAGCCTGCGGCACAACATGTGTTCCAATGGGACCGGAATATGTCGGGCCGGCGTACAGGAAATGCAATAAGAGATCAACAACCCTTACAGCAATACAAATTTAAAGTGGGTGATGTCTTGTTTTATTTTTCTAGGAAAACTGATCTTGAAACGCGTCTAATTTTACTCGTTAATCCGCTTATTCCAATATCAACCGAAAAATCCAAGGTGTTGAGTTGCCTTATTTAATCGGTACAGCTTAAGTTTATGTGAAAAAATATACTTCGTAAAACATTCATTTGTCTGAGATTTTGCCAATACTTTTGGATGGAAGCCAATATGTTTCATGAAATCCAACGCGGTTGGCTGGGTTATTAAGTCCTGCTGATGAATTGATTTGATTCCATTTTTTACTGGATGATGTTTCACAAGTGAGAAGAATTTCAATGCATCACTTCGTACATATTTCCCTTCTCTGCATACCAGGCATGTAAATATTATTTTTTTGTTTTCTGGTCCCCAATTAATTGACGCTAGGGAGCTTTGCACATAATTTCTCGCATTAAAGGCTTCAGAAAAGGGAGAAAATTATAACGTCGCGGAGCTAATGTCGTTTGGAAGCACGCACTCCGGCGTGTAGGATACGTCGAAAGCTGGACACGAACCATATTTCCAAAACCGTATCCATCATTTTTATGGCGCCCGGGCTTCCGAAACTCGCACAAAACCGTTGGGTGTCCTCCAGATCGGTTAAAATA